TCATTTAAAGGATGTCTATATAACAAATAGATGCAGAGAAAGTTAACAACAAACAGCCCACTAAGAGAGATGATCTTTCATACCGAGCAATCTGACACACAGAATGTGGTTTTAAGCCATCAGCTAGCATTCTGCTCCACCTCCAATATCATCTATGTTGCAAGGTCACGGCTGATGCTGATTTGGCCAAATTGAGAGTCCCAATTTGAGTATATTTTAAAATTCGTAACTAAATGGCTGTCATTTTACAATCTTCAAATTAGTGATGCCCCATTGCGATTGAACATTAATTCAATTATATTAATACAAAATGTATATATCTAGGTGCTGTAATGGACTTTTAAGCTCCTGCACCTCATTGGGGGAAGTATCAAGGAAGACTGGAATCTTCTGTTTCCCCACAGCCTGCACCAGTGATAAATTATACAGCTTAATTTGTAGTTAAATCCTTAAAGACACAATAAAGTAAACACTTAAATCTGTTATCTCTTGTTTTGAACAAAACACTTTTTTGTATGTCTGTATCAAAGTCTCTTTCTTTTCTGATCAAGTAACACACTAGAGCAGGGGTGTCAAACTCATGGCCCGGGGTCCAAATCCGGCCCGCGACCTAATTTTATGTGGCCCGCAAGAGCTTGCAAAGAACATAATATACAATACAATTGGTGTAATTGTTGAAAATTTACTTTCAATTATTTGCCCTAGATTTCTGCTTTCAGACGTAGTTATCTAGGAAGATATTACCAGAACTGATAATAATCCAATGCAGGGCCAACAATGTAATAGAATACATTATTTCATATATATTATATATTTACATATGTATATTTATTAGGGATGTCAAGTTAACGCGTTAATAACGCGTTAACGCAAAAAAAAATTAACGCCAATATTTTAACGCGATTAACGCATGTGTATTTTTTTTCCTCGGCCGCCCCGTAGTTTCAGAGCGCATCGAGTTTAAAATACCATCTACAAGCTGATGCTGACAGCCCCGCTCCTGCCGCCCGCTTGTGGCAGACCACACTTCCACGCTCACCGGCAGGCACCGACTGGCTATTGGGAGGACCGGGAGTGTGTGTGTATGTGTGGCCCGAGCGAGCGAGAGAGAGACCTTGCGTGCATTGTTGTTGTTAGCATCTGGTGCTAGCTAGCTGCGCTAACGGATAGAAGGAGCTGTTTAAATGAAAACAGAGGAGCGACATTTCGCCACAACTGCGCCGAGCACTTGACTTTATGCAGGAAGCCAGACAGTGGGACATTGTACGAGAAGTCAGCACACTCAGCACGGATAGTGCGCAACATGATTGCAGCGTCCAGGCAGCTCCCGTTCGAGCATATGCCTTGAGTTGCACATAGCTCCAACGATCCATCACACACACACACACACACACACACACACACACACACACACACACACACACACACACACACACACACACACACACACACACACACACACACACACACACACACACACACACACACACACACACACACACACACACACACACACACACACACACACACACACACACACACACACACACACACACCATTTGTATTGTATTATTGTATGAGAGAGGTTCCAGGTTGAATTGAGGCGAATATTTGTAATGTTCAGAGGTTGTTGTGTTTAATATTCATGAGGATATTTGTCAAATGATAATAAACATTAGCATAAAGCATATTTGTCCACTCATATGTTGATAAGAGTATTACAACTTGAAAAATATTCCTCTAAGGTACATTTAGAACAGATAAAAAATGTGCGATTAATTTGCGATTAATCGCGATTAACTATGGACAATCATGCGATTAATCGCGATTACATATTTTAATCGACTGACAGCCCTAATATTTATATATAATTAAAATTACAACCAGCCCTTTGAGTGCAACCATAATGCTGATGTGGCCCGGGATGAAATTGAGTTTGACACCCCTGCACTAGAGTATTTGTAATGCACTTGGGTGTGTATACAAAAACGTTCACAATAAAATATTTTTGGGGGAAATGAGCCAGACCTGTCAATCATATCAATTATTCTCTTCTCCATCTTTTTTAAAACCTTTTTTTAATGCAATTTATTGAACATGTCAGAAACAAAATATACAACAATAATAATAATGCTTTTTCTGTTTTTTTTTTAATAATAATAATTATAACAAAGAGAAGCACAAATAAAAAACGTTCAAGGTACAAAAAAATATGTTTTTTTGATACATTCTCAAATAGTCTGTCATGTTCAACAGGGGCAAGAAAAGCTTAAAAACGTTTCTGGTCCTACCCCCTCTTTGTTCTTGAAAATATAAGATGAAGTCATCAGCATCCGTGATATTGGATTCATTGTTTTAAACAAATACTTTTCTTTGTAAAAAAAATAAAAAATAAAAAATAACTTTTACAATGACAAGAAATAACAAGTATGAGTTCACATGGACTCATTACATTAAATTACATGTTACTTGTTAGACGCTTTTATCCAAAGCGACTTACATACTCAATACTGTGGACAATCCCCACAGGAGCCATTTGGGGTGAAGTGTCTTGCCCAGGGACACAACCACATGCTGACTGCAGTGGGACTCGAACTTGCTACCCTCTGCGCCACACGACTCCCGTGTCAAATGCTTTTTTAAGGACATATCCCTACTGCATATTCTTTCTTTTCTATTGCCTTAGTAATGTGTTCCATACATTCTATAACTGCATATGATGTTGTTCTGTTAGCTCTGAAACCATATTGTTTCATAGAGTTATGTTTGCTGATGAAGTCATTTAGTCTTGTATAGTAGATTTGTTCCAGTATTTTAGAAAACTATAGTTGCTTATAGTTTGACAGTACATGTTTATCTCCAGATGTATGTATTGGTATGACTTTAGCAGTTTTCATTTTATTTGGAAATACATCTTTCCCAGCTTCACCTATTGTTCCTTATCCTCAGCTCTCTTCTGCCTCCTCACTTTCTCCTCTAAAACGTTCCCCCGCTCTTTTCATATTTTATGACTTCACCGCGGTCCAGGATAATAATCACACAGTTTTCGTGTCACATGGGCATCCCCGAGGATCTGCTGGAGATGTGCATTGCCATTGTGCTCGTTAAAAATGTAACGCGTCCTTTACAGTGACGATGCTGAACCACAAACTTTTTTGTTTTTATCCGTCTATGTGGATGTCAGTGTAAAATGCTCAGAAGGCAGATTACAGGCTTGAAACTAAACCAGGTAATCATTCAAGTTAAACGTTCCCCATACAGTCTAGTGGTGCCAACCTGCTTAAAGGATCACTATTCTAGATGCATCAAAAAGAGTATAGTATATAAAGTGCAACCAGACACCTCAAGTGACACATGCAGCCTAAATATCTTTGATTGTCCCTTTTGTACACACTTATTTTTCTATAGTGCAGCAAATGTTAATGCAAAACTGCTCGGGACAACTCGAAACGAAAAAAACTCATATCATTTACCACACCTAATCTCCTGCACACATTTATAAAAAATAATGTGTAGGGCCTCTGCCAGGCAGGCTGTGCATAAATCTGCTTTTATGGCTGCGGTTATGCTCGCTCAAACCCCATAATGGTACAAACCTTAATCTCCACCAACATAGTCGAAATCCTTGGCGGAGCTTTTAGTACACAGGCTGACAGGAGAGCGAGCATGCCTTCTTACCTTTTACTTTTGTTACATTTTAATAATATCCATCCATGTATCATCATCCACTTGCTCAATTACCAGTCAGGTCACATCTTGCCTGTGTGCACTGGCCAATAACAAAGCATTCCTACTACAGTGCTAACAAGTCTCTTTTCATGTCTTGGGTTAAGTTGCCTTGGGCTAATACACAGAAGAAGCACAAGAGCGGGTACAAAATTGTAAACAAGATAAATGAAGAAACACTTGTCTGTAGAATTAAAGCGTGTGTGTCTGCTAGAGAATCAGCAGTTTTTACAACAACACAGTGATGTTCGGTGAGCAGGTCAAAGACAAATCCAATGATATGTTAATTTAACTGATCATCTGCCATCTCTATGGTGGACCTTCTGTTGGCAACTACAACTACAGTATATAGTGAAGGTTGTCTGTTGGAATAAAAAGGGGGTCTTAAAGGGCCCTACCATGCTCATTTTGCTCTCTTTTATCCTCTATCTTTCTCTTGCACTGTGTTCTTGTTCTTGCACTCTTTTTCTTTTCTTGACTGGGGACATAGTTACACACACATATAAAAATGTGTATTCAAACGTTTTTTTTGGCCGCAGCTGACATTGCTATATTGACCAGACTTCTTTCTGCGGATTTGATGACTTCACATTGTCCCTTGATCATAGCTTCAGTCTATCGAGAAATAACAGACCGCATGTCCAAATTATATTTTTTTGTATTCTATTAAGCCATGTAAAAGTAGGAGAAATTGTAATACACGTCGTGTACATGTTAACTACACTGGAACATTAAAAACATTCTGCTTGAACTTCTTATCAAACTTATTAAGGTACTTTTTGAGTGCTTTACAGCAGCTTAACTGTGGGTAATGTAACTTTTTTTGTGCTCCAATTATCTCATATGCATTGATTTCAGTGCATAGTACATAGGATTTCAGTGCATAGTATAGTGCTTAGTGTAAATCAGCAGTAACTTTAATTTAATGCATGTCTAAGATTGCCTTAGTGACAGATGCATGCTCCTAACTCTGTGTACTTCATGTCAGTAAGGCTCGCAGACAGTGGCAGCATGCATGCAGGTCTTTGCAGCAACGTATGGCCCAGAGCCATCTGTCCCATAACGGAAAGAGCGAAGAGAGGAGAGAGGAGAGAGAGAGAGAGAGAGAGAGAGAGAGAGAGAGAGAGCGAGAGAGAGAGAGAGAGAGAGAGAGAGAGAGAGAGAGAGAGAGGAGAGAGAGAGAGAGAGAGAGAGAGAGAAAGAGGGAGGGAGGGAGAGAAAGAGGGAGGGAGAGAGAGCGAGCGTGCATTACGCACACCCTGATCCTCTCCACACAGAGCCAGTGTAGTGCACAGACTGGCGGCAGCCCTCAGACAGTGGGACGTTTTCGCCAAAGGATTCTGTTTGAAAAATAATCTCCTTCATGTCGACTTTGTTGGATAGCTACCCGCCGATGCTATGGTTACCTTTATTACGGTAGGGACTGCTTTACTCATTTGTTTTTTTATGTCGCTGAAGAAGATGTCGCTGAGGAACAGAGTCTGACACGAGTGGAGTGACAGAACCTGACACACAGCGTGCACTGTGTACGACAGATGACAGAGACGCACAAAGTTGCACTTTAGTCACAGAGCGTGTGATGAGCACCTTTCGAGCTGCTGGAGTTGGTGGACTTGGGGATAACTTTTAAAAGTCGTGAAATTGGTTCTCAGTGTTCCAAATTATTTTTATTTTTATTCACAAATGAGTTGCATGACAACTTTAGTGGCGAGTTGTTTTTATAAGCTGAGTCTCGGCAGGTAAAACTAAAGCAGACTGTGAGACGCGCGTGCGCTGCCTCCAAGCACACTCTTCTTCCTCCGCTCCGTTTGCTCAGGTAGAGCAAGAGGTTGGGTCTTTGCTGAGCTCGTTTACGTACACATACACTAGAGACTCCTGCTGTTTACCATGCACTCGGGAGCGGAACTAGCTCAACGCGCACGGAAAGGTGCAGATGTGGTCCAGTTTGTGTCTTTGGAGTACTCACGCGTTAGACGGAGTGAAAGCTTATGTGTCAGTTGACTCCCACAACAAAGGCGGACTTTGCGTTGAATCGGCCCCCTTTCCCTCCCCGCGCGTTCCCTTCCCCGTGTGCATATTTGTTTGTGTTTGCATGTAAACTGCCCCTCTCCAAGTCTCATGCAGTCTTAAAACGTTATCCTTTTTGACAAGTGCAACTACATAATTGATCATTTTTGTAGAGACCTCCCCCTTTTCAAGGGGGGAAACCTTTTAGGTTATGTCAAAATGAGATCACTTTGGGGATGTGAAGTTTTCTCTGCAGAGTTGAGGTTAATGCGAGTACTCTTGTGGAAACATTGTATACGTCCTCGTGTTTCCCCAGACAGCAGAATTTGAGTGATGGGAGCAGTGGATGTGATTAGAGCTAAGTAACCAATACATACTGTGCGCGTGTGTCCAGCCTGATAACATAACACGGAGACAGTTGTGCGCATGCCCCGAGTCGTGCAGCGGTGTAGGCAATGTCTGATACGAAGTGCGGTTTGGGTAGCTTTGCCCACAGGCACGCATGAGTTGGTTTCTTGAGCCTTAAATGATGCCTTCCTGCTGCTGTGGCCTGTGGGAGTCCGCTTTTGCGCGTGCATGTCCTTGAGTGTGTTTGTGTGCGCTCAGCCTCTGCTGGAGCAGCTGTTGCCGCTGTGGATTTAACGCACAGCCCCTCCTGACATGCAGGCGCACAGCAGGAAAAGGATAATAGGACTCAAAAAAGGAACCAGGAGCTTCTATCATGTAACTCCATTTATGGCACTTGAGTGCCTCCCAGGCTCTCCATGAGAAAACGTTCTACTACATCTGGGCTGCTGCGTGCAGCTGCAAAGACTCAGTTTAACAATGTTCAATTTGTGTTTTACTGCAGCAGAAAGAAAAAAACTATTAGGAGCACAGGGTGTGACCACATTAGGCTCTTGGCTCATGGGGAGGACATACAGAAGTTTAAGGGTATATAAAGGAGCCAACATGGCTCCCAGGATGTTTAATAAACTGATAGTGTTACTATGGAGAGTTGCTGTTGTCTTTTTTGGCTCTGCATTCCAACATTTTTGCCTTTTGTGTGTATCCAACTCCCCGCCTCTATCTGCTGTACTCTTCCTCTCATTCATGTTGCAGGGCTGGTCTGCAAACACCAGGTGACAGAAATAAACAACATTGTAAATGCACAATACTTTTGTGGCTTCTTTGGAAAGGTTGCAATTGTTTGTTTGCCCACAAGAAAAGTTAGGGACCGGGGTAAGGAGGAATGTAGGTGCTACATTTCAATATAGGGTTTTCTAACTTAGATATACAGTTTATTTACTTTCTTTTATTTACTTTTTTGTAGTAGTTATGGGTTTAGTATCACAGACTTAACACAGGGTTTACCAAGCATGCTGAACTAAGCTGGTTCTAGACAAAGAGATACAAACTGTGAGAACAAGTGGAAAGATGAACTATTGAGATGCCGGACAGTCAAAGATGAAGTCTAAGAGCGATATGAAATGAAACACACTGCACTTTGGAACACATCTCGTAAAAGACTCATTTACACTCTCTGAGATTTCTTTGCCTGCAGGCTTGCAGGAGTGTGAATGTGTAGCTGTCAGATAGAGACATGGTGCATTGCTAATTACAAACAAACCGATGAAATTATGCAGGTTAGGTAGCTTTCCTGTTTATCTCTTACTTTTGGTTGCTACATCAGAGCTCTCTCTTAAACAGTCACCTGTTGTCCTCCATTCATAAGATGTTCCTGAAATCTCATGGAAGTCTGATTGAATTTATGGATTTGAGCCAAAAGTTATATTTTCCTTTTGTTTAACCGTTTTTGCCAATAGATGCCATCCGAACCCTGGGGGCAACGCCAAGGCGGAGCATCTCACGGACCTTTTGTAACGATTGTTTCCCCCCATGCAATGTAGTTACATTTATCTGCAAGGCAAGCACCGAAAAACAAGGGAGAAAAGGCAATGAACAATCATTCTTTCAATCTGATCCGATTGCAAATCGGCACAAGCCGTGTTCTAGTGTCTTCAGAAATCTTCACCTCTCCCCATGCTGTGTCTTAATGTACACTTGACATTTTCAGATTCAGAAAAGTAAACAATAACATAACCCCCGTAGTAAAATCAGGCTACAGTGAATACAAGAAGTTGCTTGGTAACAAAAAGAATAACAGGAAAGTGTGCCTATTTCTTGTGGAATGATTCAGGATAACAGGATGTATCAATTATCTCAATAATATTAAGTTACTCCTTTGAAGAATTCTCTCTTTTTTTGTGTTTGTGCAGAGAAGCGCTGAAGGGATGTGAGAAAGACTTTTGTATGAACTGAAAGATAATCTTGTGATTGTTTAACTCTGCTAAAGCTGAATATAATGTTGTGTTTTTTTACATCAGAATACAACCCTAACTATCTAATGCAAGGGCACTGCCAGACTTAGTAAATTGTAATAATTAAGGTTCCTCTGATTCTGAATCCAGATCCAAATTCATATGGGACTTTCTTTTTTTCCCGCCACAGCTGTGCTGCATTTTGGGAAAAATTATTAAGATCAACACTTCAGATCGCAAGCATTGAAAAAGCATTTTGAAGGGAAACAGTGCGGTAGAACGCAGTGTGTTGGTGAGAGTAAGTAAAACAATGCAACAGATGTCCTATAATCTGCGTTAGGCCCATGTCAGTTCCCTGAGGTCCCCCCACCACTTCGCAACTCTTGAACCACTTCAACATTGCTTGCAGGTTGTTACTGCTTTTCAAGACAGTTTTATGATCAAAGTCAAGTGGAACTGAAGCACTTTTCTAATAGATTTGTGTTGTTCGCAAGATTACTGGGGCCAAGCACTTGGGGTTTGTAGAGCCTTTTTCTAGTCCTTTCAATCTGAATTGAAAGCCTAAATAGGAAGACGTTCTGTGCAGTAAACTAAGTGAACTGCAGATCTGTGATGCTTCAGTCGAAACTGCTGTGTTTAGGAAAAAGTTGGAATTTGTTCCATACTTCTCTCGTTCGTGTGTGTGGATCTATACTGTCGCAGTTTCACAGCCCGGCCTGCTGCTAGATGGTTTATACATTTAGCTCAGTGTTTACATTCTTACGGCTGGTTACAGCAAAACACAGAGTACGTTTTTGGATTAGAACAGTGCAGAAACACACAAATACATGTCAGGACACTCGTAGAGGACTCATTCCTTTAACCTCAACACTTATTTCCATGTAACTCTCAACTGATATCCTGAATTAAACGTTGTCTCCCTGAGATAGAGATCATGTGGTTTGAAGGTGAGGCCTGGCCTTCCCGGCACTTCGGTCATATGACAGTTCAGCCCTCCTCTTTCTGTCCTTTTTGACCTGATAATCTTCCTCTCTGTCTCAGCGATTTTCCTGATCTGGCTCACATTGACTGTGCGGATCTTAATGTCCCCCTTCGCTCTACATCCCCTTCTCAATCTCTGAATCTGTGACCTCCTGAGACCTTCCTGGTCCTGAGACAGCTGATGAATGATAGGGCCGACTACAGTGAATTCCCGTATAAGACATTCATTTACTCATATGCCTCTATAGATGTACTACTATACCTAGTGATTGATTTATGTTTGTATGTTGGTGTGGATCTTTTATACCAACGTCGTCTCATACCTACATCTTATCTCGATTGTGTCTAGATCGGATCCTATATTTAAACAGAGAGTTCACTAGTTAAGAGACAATGCCTTACTTACATTTAAATCCAATCAAACTGACAGAATAGCTTCATTTCTGTTCTATGATAAGTTAACAAAAAGAAAGAGCTGTCAATCAAATCGACTGCTTCCTGTTTGATTTGCATGTATGTTTCCTAGATGGCTCTTGATGGTTTGTTTTTGTTTATGCAGATCCTATTATAGAACTTGAGACTCAGTTCAATGTTGAAGTTATAATAGTGGTTCGGGTGGTTTGTATCTTTAGCATTGTGTGTTTTATTTACATGTATTTACTTTGTTTTGATCTTTTATGGATCAAATTCAAATCCAGTTGCCAGTAAAATATATTATTAGAAGCTGAAAACCTTTTTGCCGAAGCGGGACAGAAATACTTATACTAAGTTCTTTAACATTGTACTCAAACACAGTTATGCCTTTTCAACGCTATTCAATCCCTACAGTACTGAACTGCTCCATCTACAGAAAGATTTCGCAGATGTGTCGTAGAAGGTTATCCATATATTTCCATTACTTTAAAATGAGTCGGCCTTACACAATGTACTGTTGTATTATATTATTGATGATATCAGATTAAGATCTGGGGCCTTCTGCAGCTAAGGCAAAATAAAACCATGAAATTAGAACCAAAATCACTCCAATTGACTGCACATTTGTTGGTTTTACGAGAGGTTTCCACCTTCTGAGTGACCTCTTGGTAACCTGCCAAATGAAAGGCTATTGTACAATCAGTTTATTTTTCT